AATTTTAGGATAAGAACCAAAGGATAGTAATTATCGAATTGGAAGCCCGATTTTATCGCGTCGTCATTTCTTTTTTATACGCTTTATATGAGGAAAAATGGTTATTTACGTCCAAAGTTGACAGGTAGATGAGGTGCATTGCCGCCAGTGAGCGCAGCGAGTCGTGGTCGGCCTTGTTGCCGCGGTTCGAGGAGAGGACGTTCTGCTGCTGCTCGAGGTTGTCGGGCGCCGCGGGGCCCTCGTCGCCGCCGGCCGACTCGTCGGCTACGCGGGGCGTGGCGCGGTCGGCGCGCGTCAGGAGCACGCGGTCCTCGTGGTTGCCGCGGACGGCCGAGGCGTTGTGCCGCAGGAGGAGGTCGATGACGCCCGGCGTGTCGGGACCCTTGTTGACCATGTCGCCGAGAAAGACGAGGTGGTCATCGTAGTTGGCGCTCTCGGCGCCCTTCGATACCGGCGCGGCGTTGTGGTTCAGCTTCTTGAGGAGGGCTTCCAGGGGAGCGAGCATGCCGTGGACGTCGCCGATGATGATGAGACGGCGATTGTTGTCGGCGGCAGGCACGAGGGCCGGATCGAGTGTCGCCAGCGGGTGGGGGAGGTCCTTGAACGGCGGGCGGGCGGTCTCGCCGTAGGACATGGGGCGGTCGGCGCCAGTGCGTCCACGGGGTTTCTGGAGCACAGGGATATGCATGTCTGTCGGGAGGAGGCTGTCGAGCGACAGTAGTCGAGTGTACCCGAGGGCGATCGCGAGGACGATGAAGACGACGAGGCTCACGAGGAGCGCGCGGCGGTAGCGAGCAGGTGGTGGGGCGATGCAAGCCATGGTGACAGGACTTGGATCGAATGTGATGAAGCAGGCGTCAATGAAGCAGACGTCAGGCAGTGGTCACTTGGTTCCGTCTCTGTAGAACCAAGTGTGTTGATTTCGATAAAAGCTGGTCCGATGCCTGACAACACAGGATGCAGGCTCCGGTGAATGCTGACAAGGAGCGTCGGATTATTCGGCAGAACAGCGCCGTGAAGCCAAGACGACGGAAATGGATGGATGGATCGAGAGAGTCCGGTCGGGTTGGTGGTAATTGGTATTGTACAGGACCTGGGTAGCAGAAGCCAGACTAACGAATGAACGTGGCAATGCGAAAGAAAGACGGAGGCTGCTGATGCAATTATGATTACAGAGTGTGCAAACAGAAACGAACGAGCAGCAGGTCCAGCTGCCGAGTAGTGTCGTATCGATAATGGGCGAAAAGGCTTGGAGGATGGAGGATGGAAGAGGAAGGCTGTGAGCCTGTGACAGGTAGAGTCAGCCCACACGATGGGCTGAGGCTGGCTCGAGATACGGCGCCTACCCGCCTTGGGCTACCTGCCTAGGCACCTAGGAGGGTATTTTTAGTGGACAGGCCGCTGGAGAAGCACGGCCTAGCATCACGTGTCTCCGCCAGCAGCCCCCAAATTCCCTGAGAGGCTTCTGAAGTGCCTGAAACGGCAAATATTTTCACAGCGAAACGGGTCAGACCCTTGTATGCAATCCAAGCTCCGAATGACAATCTCTCGACCTTCTCAGACAGTCTGAAGTCACACCATGCCGGGTTGCCACGCTTGGCCCGTTGACCCTCAAACGGGGACACTGCAAAACCAACGTTGCCCCTCCAGTCAGTACGATAAGCGACTGATAAGGTTGAGCTTCTTCGATTCACCCGTACGATCAGCCTAAAACCCCACATTGATGTCTCTCCTACCCCTCCATGCCCTGCCTGGTGCCTCTTTCCAGCTTCAACATCAACACAGAGACAACCATTGAACTATGACTCGCCGTCCTGGAGCACGCATTGGCCTCGAATCCTGAATACCTAGACACGCGCTTTTGCGCTTCTTGTCATTTGCTTCTCAGCCTAAACAAGCACGTCATCGCGAGTGCCCGCCATACGAGAATCCCTCAAGACCCCGACTGACATGGCCTCTCAGTCGCCCGAAATGGACGCCACTACTATCAATTCGTGTACCAAAAGACCACAACATCCTACTCAATGATTCTTCCAATATTGTACACCCATCCTGTCCACATCAAGCAAAAGAGTGGCTCAACGGCTCGGCCCGCGTTGCAATGTCACGACGGATATCCTAGGCTGGGGCCCCGCCTTCGACTGCCCACGCAGTGATTCAAGTTACGGCGCAAAGCTTCAATGCTATGCTAGTGGAACTCACTCAACGCGTAAGCTGGTTTCGCCCAGGCACGGCTACCCTGCCGCTTTATGCCCTGGCCTCAAATTGCCTGCAGAACCTACCATCAGGTTGCGCAGGACTTTGTGCGCCAGCGTGCCGTGCAAACAGCACAGCAAGTCCTGTGATCCAGGGGACTGGGGTACCAAAATCTGGATGCAGGCTGCTCTCACACGAAGATCCTGTTCGGTACAGTCAAGTGCTAACAGTCCACGGGGCTTGACATACTGGGTACAGACGAATCCATTCAAAGTCTGGAAGTAAGGGCCAGCCCTCTCGCTCCGAGCGAATCAAACTCTCTGCGTCCGTCCTCATGTGCTCCCAATTCGATCGCGGGAAGCAACGAACCCCGCTCATACGATTATTGCTACAGTTCGTTACAGATGTTGACCGTGCCATCGGCATGCGTAGCGGGTTCCAGATGCTTCCGAGACTTCGCTACTCCTTCGCGCTGCTTGAACGACAACCGACACATATCTTCACCGACGACCATCCTCAAAGCCCCCACGCGATCGCTTTGGACACTTCCCAACTACATGAGCCCTTGCCGCCAGAAGAGTACCCATGGGAGGTGCCGGCGCTGGAGTCGGGCTTTCCTTCGAAACAAGGGGCTTTCGAAGACTAGTTCTTCTTCTCGTCATCCCGCTCACAGATATGATTGCGATGACACCAGGCGTCATCCCCGATGACAGCACCTTCGTTTATCAGTTGCCTGGCTTTTGAGGATGCAGGCGGACAGCGATCGTCCTTAGGCCCAACATGTCTCGATTGTGTATGGTTGAGAGGGTGCACGTCAGTGCTTCGACCAGGCTTTGCCTAGGCTTTTGCTCACCGCTGGTCGCTTCTGGCAAGCGAGCAGCGTCAGTCTTTCTTGGCTTGAGCCTAATGATACGATGGACGTCCATTCCGTGCCTTGGGAAGGAAGCTGGTAGCGAAGTTTTATTCCCAGCAGTGTTGAGTACACAGTGGAGGGACAAGTAAGCCTTGAGCCAGTCACGCAGGCGATGCCTGATTACGCTGGCTGTGCCAAATGGGCTCGGCTAAGAACACCACTGGTCCGGCAGTCGTCGGCCGAAGCCTCGCTTCCATCATGCTTCAGCTCTCGGCAAGCGAATCCATCCAGCAAAGAGCCCGCCGACACACCCTCTCTTGCAACACAGCGAGCGGGCCCGTTCGGGTGCCGCATCACGAGCCTGCTCCTTCGGCCCCGTGTGTTTCTCAAGACCACGGACCATTACCCCGCTCTCAACCACGAACGCCTGCTCGCTTGGTCAACTTGACTTGACTCGCCAGAAGTCCAGGCCTCTGCGCTACCATCCATCAGATTATTTGTCCTACTTGTTTTACCCCATCCCACGTCTTGACCTTGTTCATCACGTCGCCGGAACCATGCTAGTGGCGCCCCTTCGGCAAAACCTTGGTGTCGTCATTGCTGGAATCCCTATGTTCCC